GTAAACCACATACAAATCATACCAAAAACAAAAAAAAAAAAAAAGCAAAAATTCAGGGGAAATATGGCAGTTTCGCTGAAAATTTCGCCGAAAATGACACCACCTAGGGCGAGGTCCCACTAGCAACGGGATAGGATAGAAACGAGTTTGTGGGACAGCTGAGTGACCCAAATCCTGCCGTGCACTACTGTTGATCCCACCGTCAGTATTTTACATGTATTACCCGAAAAAGTAAGGAGATCTTCGTTCCCCTCCTCCTCTCCTTAACACTGGGCATACCCGTGCACAGACAGCTTCCCGCCAGAATCTTTTCAATGGGTTGGGAGTGTGCCCAACCCCAAACGAGGTTGGGGTCAGCCTTAGCCCACTGGATAGAAGATTTTCGGCATTTTACTTGCTGTAGTGCAATTATCTCATTGGGTGGAGCCCTCCTTCAATCACGGAGTATATGGAGGGTGTCAGGATCACTGCTGTCAGAGGTCGAGTTTATTCCAGAAAATGTGGCGGTTACTTTGTTCACTGTTTTTGCAACCACCACCATCAGATCATTTGTGATCTGATGGCTGGGAAGCACACTGCTGTGATTTCCGGTGGGAGGTCTCTGTTTCTTCTTTCTTTTTTGGTCTTTTTCCTGTTTTCTCAGCCCAGAAATTCGTAATGAACTTGTCACACTGGATCGGGCACACTCCTATCCGACTGCTAATGGGACCTCGCCCCTAGTAACCATTAGTGTAATTTTTTTATTTTTGCCTTTTTTTTTTCTTTTTTTTTTTTAAGAAAAAACATTTCCTTTTTGTGCTGGAAACCGGGTCCAGCGTCCCTCACATTTATATCTCGGCAATGCGGGCTGGGCGAAGCAGTCGCAGCCAAGTCCATGAGTGTAATTTTGCTTGCCTGAACGAGAACAACATGGCCATTGCTTGTCACACTATTCTTTTCTTGTTTCCCTTTTTTTTTCTGTTTTTCTTTTCTTTTTTTCATTTTCTTTTCCTTCTTTTTCCTTTTCCTTTTTTTAATCAAACTGGTTCTTCTTCTTTTTTTTTTCTTTTTTTTTTTGACCGTGTGTTTGTTTTTTACTGTGTGGGTAAACGCAGGTGCCTGTGCAGACACTTATCCTTGAGGGCGAGGTGGGTCCCCTCATTGTGCAGCAGACAGTGAAGTTAGGTGTACATAAACTCATCTTAGGCAAGCATCAGCAAGGCTTCTTTGCAAGGTGAGCAAGCAATCCATCAATGACTGGACATTGGATAATTATTTAACCATTTAACCATTTAACCATTTAATAATTTAATAATTTAATAATTTAATAATTTGAATAATTGAATAGTTGAATAAATTAGTAATCCATCATGCTCATCTTAGGCAAGCATCAGCATGGCTTCTTTGCAAGGTGAGCAAGCAATTCAGCAAGGAATGCATAATAATTAAATGAATTAATAAATTAATAAATTGATAAGCCATCATGGATAATTGATATAAGGATATTATTATTATTATTATTATTATTATTATTATTATTATTATTATTATTATTATTATTATTATGATATAAGAATACTCGATATTATTGATAATGGATAAGTTTTTGTGTAATGGATTCTTTGCAAGGTGAGGACAAGTGGATAATGGATAAATGGATTTAAAATTTTCTTTCTTTCTTTCAAAACAAAAAAAAAAAAAGATGTGCAGTCATCTGTATTTAAATTTGCCCTCACTCGTCTCATCAAATCTGTCAAGTTACAAATATTACGTCTGAATAGGCATTTTTCCATGTGTGTTTGTGTGTGTGTGTGTGTGTGTGTGTGTGTGCATGCGTTGT